GCCTCCGGAAGGCCTTGTGGCAGATGTCGCACGTGTAGGGCCGCTCGTCCGTGTGCGTGCGCTCGTGGATGAGCAGGTTGTAGGACTTGGTGAAGTGCCTGCCGCAGAACTTGCAGATGAACTCCTTTTTCGTCTTGGAGGGCAGGCGGCCGCGGGAGGGCTTTCTGTCCGGGGACAACTTGCTGATCCCCGACAGGGGCGACGCCAGTCCGGGGCTCAGCTTGGCCAGGTCCCCCACCTTGGGAGGGTCCTCCTGCGTGGCGGCCACGGCCAGGTTGGCAAAGTCAAAGCGGGGCCTGTCCTTGTGCAAGGCCGGCAGGACGTGGGCGATGGCCCCTTGCTTGGGGTGGAAGAGGTGCGTGGCGAAGGGCAGCGCGGGGAACGGGAAGCGGGAGTCCACCAGGCCCGGGGCGGCCGCCATCTCCGTGATGGTGGAGCGCGTGATTTCGTGCACATTGGGGTAGCCCAATGTCCAGTGGTTCATGTGCATGGTTTGCACGGCGCTGAGTCCATACAGACCTTGCAGCTGGTCCACAGCTGCGGGGAAGGTGTTCACGGCCTGCAGGAAGGAGTAGTTGGTGAGTTGTAGGGACGGGTGCAGCGGGATCGGAGCTGGCAGCGCTTTGCTCCCCATCTTCCCAGGACGGGGGCAGGCGGCGCGGGAGCTGCTGTCTCTCTTCAGTGCTTCCAAGTGGAGAAATTCCTAGGGAGAACGAGGAAAAAAGAAGAGAAAAGACTTTTACCGGAGCAGCGAGATTCCCTTCAACCGAGGCGAGCGGGACGGGGGAGCCGGAGGCCGGGAGCGACGGCCGGAGCGCTGCTCGTCCCGGCTCCCGCTCCGGATCCCGCCGCAGCCACGGCTCCCACCAGCGCGGGGAGGAAGGGCAGCCATAGAGCCGCCGAAACGAGCCGCGATCGCGAAGAAGAGAGAGTGTCAAGAGACGAACAGAAATGAGACTCCAGAAACAACTTCTCCACCAAAAAAAGGGAAAATAAAATAGGAAAAGTAAAATGAAATAAACAAACAAAATAAAACCAAAACGACAACAACAAATTCCCGCCGATCCTTCCTCAGGCGCTGCAGCCTCAAAATAAAACCGAGCGTGAAAGTCGCGCCGGGAGCGCGCGGCTGGCA